ACAATTTTTCCATTTACTTCGTTGCTTTATCTTCTTGTACTGGAATGGCCCATATCATACAAAAACAAAAACGCTTTTAATGCTATTGTTGAATTAGACAGTACTGCATTTGCTAAAATAATGAAAGAGCGTAGAATTAATGTGGGTTGGGATAGATGCCTTGTTTATGAGAGTTTTAATGTAATGAGGTGCTTTAAGTGCTGGGGCTTCAATCACAAAGCAAGTGTATGTAAAGAAAATGGAGTGACTTGTGCAAAATGCAGTGAAATTGGGCACTCTCATAAAGAGTGTGTAAGCAGCATTGTAAAATGTATAAACTGCGTGAAGATGATAAAAACTCGTAATCTCAAGGACATCTCTACAGATCATGATTGCAGGGATATGAACTGTAAAACTTTACAACGAAGACTTAAATTTGAGGCAGATAAAATTAATTATCAATCATGAATGATCATAAAACCTTAATAAACATTCTTTGTGCTCAAAATAATAATTTCAATATAGTTCATTTTAATGCCAGAAGCCTAAATGGTCTTAAACTTGATCATGTAAAATCAGTGTTTGAAGACTCCAGTGTTGACATTATTTGCGTTTCTGAAACATGGTTAGATAATGAGATCAGTAGTTCATTTTTTTCTATAAAAGGTTATGTTTTATATCGCTATGATAGAAAAAACAGAAAAGGAGGTGGAGTTGCAATTTATTGCAAATCTTATTTAAGTAGTCAGTTAATAAGTACTTCGGATGAATCAGATATTGAATTTATTTGTGTGTCTATTGGCTGTCACAGTAATAAAATTTTAGTTTCCTGTGTCTACAATCCACATAACCGATTCTCATGCGATCCATTATTCGACTCGCTTCTCTCAGTTGTACATAAATATGATTTTATCGCAGTACTTGGTGATTTTAATTATGACTTTTTAGTAAATTGTAGTAAAGTCTTGAAACTAAAAGACTTATTAGCCATGATGGGCCTAAGTGTCATTAACGAAACTGAACCAACTAGATACTGTAACAGTGTGCGACCTAGTCTTTTAGATATATTTGCTGTATCGGATCCTAATAAAGTCTTACTATTTGATCAAATCTCTTTTATATCTGATCATGATTTACTGTTTGCTACATTGGATTTTAACCCAAACAGGAAATCTAGTCCTAGCTCTTTTTCTTACAGAGATTTAAAATCAGTTGATACAATCAGATTATTTGATGAACTCAATACTGTTGATTGGAGTGATTGCTGGTTTGCTTCAACTTCTGACGATAAATTAGATAAATTTAATAATATATTTTGTCAATTTTTTTATCGATTTGTTCCGCTGCGGACTATTACTATTAAAAGTTCCTCCTGTCCTTGGCTAAACCCTCAGATTAAAAGAAAGATAAATTACAGAAATAAAAAGCATGCAGTATGGAAAAAGTTTCCTTCGACCTATAACTGGATGCGGTTTAAATTAGCTAGAAATTTAGCTGCGAAGGCAGTAAGCATGGCTAAATCGGCGTTTTATAACATTAAGCTTGACACTACACAGCCAACAAAGAATATCTGGAGGAACATTAAACATTTGGGATTAAAGCAAGATAGTACAACACATTGTGAACTAAGTCCAAATGACTTAAATGACTACTTCATTTCGTGTATTAATGTAAATTGTAAAAATATTTCTTCGACATTCCCAATTTCTAATGTATGTACTTCCAATGAGAGGTTTAATTTTATAGGTGTTAGTGAAGAAATAGTCTGTAAAAGCTTGATAAATATTAAATCAAATGCCGTTGGATTCGATAACCTTCCTCTCAAATTTCTAAAGCTCACTTTGCCGTACATAATAGCTCCTATTACACATATAATTAATCATTGTATAACAACGTCAACCTTTTCCATTATGTGGAAAAAGGCTAAAATTATTCCAACTCCGAAGAAGACTAACGCTTCGTTGACTTGTGATTACAGACCTATTAGTATTCTTCCATCACTGTCCAAAGTTTGCGAGCTTTTAATGGCTTATCAAATTAATGTTCATCTTGAGTGTTTCCAACTCCTCTCTCCATTACAGTCTGGCTTTAGAAAGGGTCACAGCTGCTCTACTGCCATGCTTAAAGTTTTAGAAGACGTTCGACCTAGCTATGATAATGATATGATCACATTTTTATGTCTTTTAGACTTCTCTAAAGCATTTGATCGTGTTGATCACTCCATACTATGTAAGAAATTAACTAATAATTTTTTGTTTTCGTACTCTGCCTCTAAATTTATATATAGCTATTTAACAGGGAGATCGCAGACTGTATTCTCTGCTAATAAATATTCGAATTTTAAATCGTTGCCTACTGGTGTTCCACAAGGGTCAATCCTCGGCCCACTGCTCTTCTCAATATATATAAATGATGTTTTCTCCATATGTAAATACTCCAAATTACATGCATATGCAGATGATATTCAGATGTATCTTTCGAGTACTGTAGGTTTTTTAGATGGCAGTGTTCGTAAGCTTACTGATGACTTAGAAAGAATTAATACATGGGCAAAAGTAAACAACATGCTGCTTAATACAGATAAAACAATTATTCTGCCTATTGCGAGAAGAAAAATTATACTGGAGAAATTGCCTTTAATTTTAATTGGTAGTACTACAATTGATTATAAATTATCAGTAAAATGCTTAGGTTTTTACTTGAACTCCAGCTTGAATGCCCGTGACCACATAAATCAAGTCTTTCGAAAATCAATTGTATCACTTAGATGTTTACAATTATCAGCTAAATATACTCCAATAAATCTTCGTTGTACGTTAGTATAGCAATTAATAATGCCTATTGTTATGTATTCTAGTCTGGTTTACAGCAAACTTGACTCAGACTCTCTATACAAATTAAGAGCTTTAGTAAACTGCTTGACAAGGTATGTCTATGGACTCAGGCGTTTTGATCATTTAACTGGCTACAGGAATAATATTCTGGGATGTGATATTGAACAATTTATAAATAGATATGTTTGCATATTCGTATTTAACCCTGGACGCATAATGTACGTAAATTTGACGCACACGTTTTCGTTTTTTACAGTTATTTCATTTTTGTGTTCATATATTGCTCTCGCGCTCTTGATATGTTCAGTCGGGATCTAACTCTTGCGTAAGGTATATGATAAGTGTCGGTAAGTTATGACATAAGTTAGATATTGAGTCGTTGTACGTCATTTTTACGTATGATTATACTTTGTGTAACTTTTATGGCTAATAAAGTATTTTGAAAAACTTTTATTTCTTTCAAATTTCAGTAAAGTTTTAATAGAAATGGAATCAAAGAGATTTAATATTGTTGAAATATTACAAAAAGATGAAGAAAATGATCAGAAAGGTGGAAAATCTAGTTCTAGTCGAACATATTGTGCATTCTGTTCATATAAGAAAAAAAGAATGACAAACATTAGATGTAGTTCTTGTAAAAAGCCGATTTGTAGAGAGCACAATCGTGATACATGCTTTAAGTGTATTTCTGCATAGGATTAATTATTATTATATAACTATAAATTAGCTGATTTGAACCAAAAGTTCCTAATAATTTTAATTATTTTCGTAACATTTATGACGATCCCAATATGACTTGCTATTTGTATAAGCTAACTTTAAGTTGTTCATTTTATAAGTATATATAAATTTCATTTACTTTTTTGTTTCTATTATTATTTTTTGATTTATTCTAAATAAAAATAAAAAAAAAATATTAAGAAATATTGAAAATTTACTCTTAATACATAATTTTGAAAAATGCAATTCCTTTTTAAGTGAAAATCATTGGCATATTATATTTATTATGTTTATTTAAAAAATATGTTTGAAAGTATTACTGTTTTGTTTTAATTTGAATAAATAAATACTTCTTTAAAAACTTGTAAAAAACTTGCACACATTTAAATTAATATAACGGCAAAATATAAACTCTGAAAATTGCACGTTATTTTTACGTATGATTATTCTTAACATTAGTAGAATTATGATTATACGTCCAGGGTTAAAATCGCTACGACCCAAATCCCTGGGTACCTTTTTAATAATCTACGTAAATTGCATTCACAGAGATCTATTCAATATTTAATTCCAAGATTCAACCACTCTTCTGTGACTAGTTTCTTTTTCATCAATGCGGTAAGACTCTGAAACTCGTTATCTAGTGATACCAGAAACGCAAACAACTTATGGTGCTTCAAAAAGTTAGTTTTACAGGAACTGTCTTAGTTTATTATTACCATCATATATTAATTAATATTGTTTCATTCTTATTTCTTTATTTTGATTAATTTTTTCTTTTAATTATTAATATTATTTTTGGCTTATTAATATTTTCTTTTGTTTACTGTTCGTTTTGCCTTTTACTTTGATTTCATTAATAAATACTCTTCTTTAATTTTTCTCTTCTATAATTTCATTGTTATTATGATTATATTTTAATTTTTTTAATAATAAATTTTTAAGCAATAGTTTAATTAGTATATTTAATTTTATTTGTTATTTTGTAAGTTAGTATGTAAGATAGTGCATTAAAAGGGTGTTCCTCATAGCACTTTATTAAATAAATAAATAAATAAATAAAAATAAATATCATAGGAGTGAAGAGTAATATAATATATTATTTTTTTATTGCAACAAATAATGCTCTACAAAAACCATTATTTATGTACGAATGTGATATTGGAGACATAAAGTCTGCAGCATATAAATATGTATGTTTTTATTGCACACATTTCTGCATATATTATCTCAAATGGAACTACGTCTTAATATGTTTGAATTTTTGGTGACTTTTTATGTAATTATTCTTAAAAAATTATTTTTACCGTGTTTTGGTGAAGTCTTTTACAATTCTTAAAACCAAAAAAATATTGAAAGTTTATATAAACATTATACAGTTTTTTGGTGTCCATATACATTTATATTAGACATTTAAAATTTATTCATACTTAGTTTGATTTGTTCAAAAAGTTTAAAGTCTCTAAAATGAATCGTAAAACGATTGCGGGTAATAAGTATTGTTTACCTCATTGCAAGAGATCCAAAAAATCTTTTCCCGATTTAAAACTATTTAAATTTCGCATGGACAACATTAAAATATAAAACTTCATAGAATGGAAAAATCTGATTTGAGACAAACAATTTGAGACTACAATTCATAACAGTATCAAACAGGTAATTTTGTTTTTGTTTTATACCATTAAATTCAAAACATTATCAAATGTACACAATTTTGATTTCGTCACTGAAATGCTGTTTGATCGCTTGAACATTTTGCAGCGAACAAACATACAAACATGCGTATAATGTAATACAGAGGATTGCATTGCATGTATGATTGAATACGTATACAGAAGGGATTTTCAGCCTTATTCGACTCACATATAGGTTTGAACTGAACATCATACCAGTTGTGACTCGATCGAACATTGTTGCTTGAGGTTGGGTGGATTTATTATAAATCCACCAGCAAAAAAAGATGGTATTTCGTTTGTATGAGCGTGGCGCTTCTTTGTACTCTAGATTCTTTGTTATGAGGTAAGTAAACACCGGCAGTAGCCCAACCGTAGTTGTTATTAATATTTCGGTAGTAATGACAGTACTATGACCTGTAGTAGCCATGATATCATGAAGTATATTAATAAACGCTATGTTGTTAAATATCAAATTATGTTTTATATTTTAATACACAAATAATTAAATGCATGTTAAGTTCTTATTATTATTAATTAAATAAATTATATAAAACTAAATTGTTAACGAAATTTAATTTAATCATATAAAATAGACTGATCATATAAAATTCATGGAAAGTATTTAAAATTAATAATTATAAATTTAAACACTCAATAATGAACTATTTTGTGTGCTCTTTAACCAAAGAATCTATAGTACAAAGAAGTGCCACGCTCATACAAACGAAATACCCACTTTATTTTGCTGGTGGATTTATAATAAATCCACCCAACCTCATGCAACAATGTTCGATCGAGTCACAACTGGTATGATGTTCAGTTCAAACTCATTGCAACCCACAATTGTTTTTATACGCCTGTTTCTTTTGCCTTTCTTGTTTTTATTTGTCTATTTAATTAATATACATTGATTAGTAGCGAAGTGAATGGTAAAGAAATCCCTGAAACAATTTTACCATATACTTTGTTGCTTTATTTTCTTGTACTGAAAAGGCTCATATCATAGGAGTAAAGAGTAATAGAATATATTTTTTTTTATTGCAAAAAATGCACTACAAAAACTATTATGTATGTACAAATGTGATATTGGAGACATTAAGTCTGCAGTATATTAATATGTATGTTTTTATTGCACATTTGTGCATATATTTTACCTCAAAAGGAACTACTTCTTAATAGTTTGAATTTTTGGTGACTTTTTGTGATAATTTTAAAAAATATTTTTAAGATTCATATAAAAGTGTTTGAAAAGTATTTTAAAGAAAATAAAAATATTAGAAAAGTAAGAAAAATTATATTGAAAAAATGTATAGAAGTCAGTCACTAAAACCACTAAGCGCATGAGTTTGAGGAAGTTTGAGGAAGCGCATGAATGCTATTTACAAAGGATTGAAATGTTAAAATTGATGATTACGATATTGCTTCGGAAACATTGCGCATGGACAACATTTAAGAATAAAGCTTCATAGAATGAAAAAAATCACATTTGAGACATAAATAAATTTGTAATGTGTTTTTACACTACAATTCATACCAATAGCAAACAGGGAATTTTGTTTTTGTTTTATACTATTAAATTAAAAAAATTATCAAATGTACACAATTTTGATTTCGTCACTGAAATGCTGTTT